CTCTAAAGGGCTTAAGTTATCCTGCAATTTGCTCAAGATGCAGTGTGAGATTTTTTTTCTCATCCAAGTGCTCACGGGTGTATTTCATATTTTGTCTTGGCCTGCAACCTTATTTGCGAAGTGATTTTTAATCCTTGGATTGGATTCTAGCTAGCATTATACTGACAGGAACATTTATAAGCTTGACACACGGACCGCATATACTCAGATTTAACAAACAGATTTTTTTAATAATTTGCCAGCTGCGTTTTGAGTTAAAATACAAACTCTCACCTCAGGACAATACAAAAACGTTAATTTAATTCCAATGACCTGTCACCTGATACAAAATTAAATACTAAAATACCTCTTTATTAATGTACCCAAGGTGGTGTAAGATTAAATTAATATGCCCCGATAGCAAACCATAGACATATTGAATAACAATGAGTACTGATTTAGCCAGGAAGCCACACAGGAGGATATTGCATTGTATGTTTTATATTAAAACATGTTTTCAGCCAATTAATGAGTGTTTATGCATGTGGGAAGAAACCGGCACACCCAGGGGAAATTCACGCACGTGAGTGAGAAACACTCCATCCCATACAGTTCGGACAGATGGGATAGATGGTATTAGTTCACACTGGCTGTGCCACTTCTCCTGGCCAGCCAGAGTTTTGCAACAATTGCGTGGTCCACCAACCCTCATCTCCACAGTGCTGGATTCCAGGCGTGCACCACCACCACCACCACCCGTTAATGTTGATCAAATTAAATGGGCTTGGGTGGGACACATCGCTACAAGACTGGTGATGGAGGATAACCACCATGGAGTGCAGAGATCAGTTCAGGCGCTGGTGTGAGATGGATGGTGGATTAGTAGCACCACGAGGCATGGAGACAGCATGGTGGGTCCTTCATCCAGCGGTGGATAGACAATGGCTGCTGAATATTATGCTGATTCGAGCTTACAATTTCTACAGGAATCATTTCATATTTACGATTTCATTCCGGATGATTCCTTTAGGAAACATTGTTTTACGGGTGATTCTAACATTACCATTTCCATTCATTTTAAAGTAATTCTAATTGAAAATTTGCTATGGAATATTTCAGCAGTATAAATGGATCTGCTGCGATGTTATTGCGAATCTACCTCATATAAAGCTTCAGTTATAATTAAGCGTTGCTGATTCCAGCTGGCCAGAATGGGAAATGTGATCAATTCCAGACAGCATGGATCTCCATTGAGATGTATTGCTGATGCTTAGTGGGAAGACTTTACCCGATGCCACCCTGATTTTGACGTGGTGTTCAGGACAGAAGGGAGAACAATGTGGGGCTTGGACTGGCCTTGGGGAGTCTTTACCCACACCTATGTGCAGCTGGGATGCATGTAGCAAATACCTGTAAATCCAAGGCGAATATACACACAGCTGACCCTTATGTGTATACTATTTGCTGGTCAATGCATCTTGGCTTGCATGGGCATTGCCAAGTATTTGTATAAAGGCTGGCCTCCACGTCGCTACTCAAGCCCCACAGGCCCTCTTCTATTGCCTGAATGCCGCAACAGAATTGGGGATGAGTTGAGCCAATTTTACATTCTAGATATCAGCCATATGTCTCAATGGAAAGTCCAAAACACTCCAGCCCCAATACCAGCAGTCCTTGATAAACACCCATCTGGCATTGACTAGAATCGCCATTGAAACGAATTACATAGGCATCGGCCACATGCCCCAATGGCGATTCCACTACGCCGGCCAGGCACTGTGGCCCCTCCTTTCTGGCCTGAAACGCCATGCTGGGTTCTGCGCATCCTGAACCCCGTGATTTTATGATTTCTCTGATCCTACAGTAAGGAGTCAATCCATAAGGGCGCTGCGGTGGTCGAGATGTTAGCTACCTTGCCTGGTACACAGGAGGTCGTTGGTTCGATCCCGACCCAGACACCTGCATATCTGGAGTTTTTGCATGTCTCTCTCTGTGTGCGTGTGGATTTTTCTCCGGGTTCTCCGGTTTTTCCCTCCACATTTAAAATCAACATGCGTTTAGTATACAGTATTTGGTTACTGTACATTTCTACATAAGCCACTTTTTTGGGCGATCATTTGTGGCCAGGTCGCCTCTTAGAAAAGTACTATTTAGCTCAGTGGGCCTTACTTGGAGGTTGCCCAGCTCTCTCTGATCTTACATTTACATGCACATTTCTTCACTAGCCCGGCCCACTTCGCTTATGATCCTTGGGCTACACCCATCTCAAACCTTTATAACATCCTGCCTCAGCAGCTCTCTCACTATTTTTAAATCCTTTATATTAAGTTCACTTGCTTGCTTGCTTGCGCGCTTACGACCGTGCAAATCTTTCGGTCGTGTTTTAACCCACTTCCCGTGATCCAATCGACTCGTTGTGCGTGACAATGAATTTTCGTGATATTTTTTTTCCAAAATTTTACACTTTTTAGGAAAAAAATGATATTTAATTACCAATTGCTTAATGGTGGCAGGCAATCATCTGACCCATAGATGGCAGCCATCTCAAGCCAGAGGACGAGAGGACTCTAGCCGCCACGCATATAAAGGATTTATAGTGAAAAACTTTGTTTTTACGGGTAAATTTTTTTCACTTGATGACGATTGCTTGCGTTGCGATCGAAACGTCGTGATTATTTTTTTCTATCTATGTGGCTTTACCGAAAGACTTCAGCATTTTTCTTGTTGTGGTTGTTCCACCTGATGAAGATTTCTCGTGTTGCGATCGAAACGTCGTGATTTGTTTTATTTTATTTTATTTCTACTTGTGTGACTTTACCGAAAGAACCAAAGAGTATGCATGTCATTACAATTCGAGGTTAGGGTTCATGATAATTGCCCAGCTATAATAACAATCAGGAATTAAGTTGTTTCTTTACACTATAGTATCTTTGGTCATGTATTGTAAAAATAAAAGCAATATGTTAAGTACACCTGCTTGGAATGCAGGTTTAGTGGGTTCGATCCTGATGCCTCTATATTTGGAGTTTGCGTGTTCTCCCCAAAGTCACGTGGATTTTTTTCTGGGTCCTCTAGTTTGCATTTTGAGTGTTTGGCTGCTATAAATTTCCACACGATAAGCCACTTTGTTGAGCTATCATCTGTGGCCAGGTCGCTTCTGAAAAAGAGCTATGTAGCTCAGTGGGTCTTACCTGGTAAAATAAAAAATGGTTTAGTTTAGTATATTAAATGAGTTATTCTAATTTCATGGGGTCACTAATATTTTGAACCAATTGGACTTCTACGACGTCGTTTATACATTGGTAGCTTTCCGTGTACAATTTACAATGTTACAAAAAAGCATTTATACCTGAAATGTGAGCAAAATAAAATATCACAACCATGGAGAAATAATGCATAGCGTTCTTACAGATTAGCATCAGTATAATTATACGGCTTTTATGTAACCTCTATTTTGCTAACAAGTACGTCCTTGTGAAAATTAGCTTAGTAGTGAATATTTGTGCAATTTTTTTCATTAATCCATGTCAAGTGACAACCCATCTTTTTGGAGTGTATTTTTTAAATAAATCCTCGTGAGGCCTTTTTCGTGTTTTTAGCTGAGTGGGGTCATAAATAACGACCTGCTTGTTGAGTGCCTCAGCATTAAACAGCTAACTCATTATTTCTGTTATCTCAGTGGCACAAGCCATAAGATTTATGTGCATTTTAAAGTTACATTTTTTTTATGTTGAGTTGCACAAATAAAATACATGTTTCACTATGTTTCTTAAATGGATTGTTCAATAATGTTCTACTTTAATAGCACTTTGTAAAATTATGTTAAAACAGAGGGTTTAAAAAAAGAGTTGGATGGACTTCAAAATATACATTTTGCAAGTATGTTCATATTTACAAAAAGGCTCGTGTAAAGCTATGGGACCCTTCATCCAGTAGCAAGATATTGCATGATTAAAAGGATATACCCTTTCTAGTGTAAATACAGGTGTTTAAGATCTTCAAACAGCATTTGGACACCTATTACAAGGCATGAAGTCGGTATTGACCACACATACTTGTAAAAAATGCAAACAAATATGCTTTGATAATGTATGCACTGACCTTGAAACTGATAGGCCTGCACCAGAGAAGGCCTCTTTTATGGCTTTGTCTCACTGGTGCTTGAGACCAAAGGCTGCCACACAAATAAGTAAGCAGTACAAGGGCAATGCAAACACCAGAGCATTAATAGCTCAGTTTAAGCTGTTAAAGCTATGGGATCCTTTCACCAGTTTCAGGATATTGAATGATAAAAAAGGCTTTACTCTTTCTGGAATAAATACAGGTGTTTAGATGTTCAAACAACAATAGAGACACCGATTACAAGGCTTCATATCTGCATTCACCACACATATTTGTGGTAAAAGATGTAAAACAAATATACTTTGATAATGTATATACTGTCCTTGAGACTGATAGGCCTGCAACAGAGACAGGTGTAAATTATATTTTATATCATCTGACAAATGTGCTATTAAGAAGGACCGTTGCCCAAAACGTCACCGATCACATATTTTTTTCCTTTTCCGGTAAATTTTATTGACAAATGTGAGCTTTTTTAGTTAATTGTGCTTGCGCACCACTGCCAATGTAGCATCACCAAACGATGTCTTTAACTGTTAAAATATGGATGTTTAATGTGTTTTTTAATGCAACTATTGTATTTATTTCATAACAAATGAACTGTTAGTTTTCTTTCATGTTATTTGACCACACCACGCGTCAATTCATTTTTTTTCCAGAATTTAAGTCCTTCCAAGGCTTATTTGAAGTGATGTAAGCCTTTCTGGTCTGAAGTCTTAAAAAGTAAAATTATTTCATTTTATTAAATTCAACCCAGAATCATCAACTAAAAAGCAACACTTTTGGCAACGTTAATGCAAGAAGAGTGACTAATGAGATCACCCAAATGCACAGTGATTGTTTATTACTAGTCATGAATAAAAGCTCACTTTTGATCTGTTCTGTCTTTGGATAACTAGGAGCCGCTGAACCGTAGCCGAAGCAACCTACGAGAACAACAACAACAACACGAGCGTTATTGCTCTCCGCGTGGGCGCCCAACAAAACAAAAGCCATGAGCGACTCCAACCGCGAACGTTCGGCGCTGGTGAAAGGCGCCAAGGACATCGCGCGCGAGGTCAAGCGGCAGGCGGCCAAGAAGATCGGCCGCGGCTCAGACCGCCTCCAGGACGAGTACACCGGCCGCACATACGCCCGCTTCCAGGACGAGCTGGACGACGACTACTACGCCCAGCAGGGCTCGTACGGGGACGCTTCGGCAGGTCCCGGGCACGCCGCCGGCGAAGCGGGCGGAGGGGCCGCCGCCGACGATGAGGAGGGCGACAGCGATGCAACGGAGGGCCACGACGAAGAGGACGAGGTCTACGAGGGCGAGTACCAGGGCATCCCGCACGGCAAGGCCGGGAACAGCCACATGCCGGCGGGTGACGGCGGGGACCCTTACGGCGATGGTGGCACGGGAACGATTGCCGGACTGCAGACGGAGCGGGAGGAGATGGCGCAGCAGTACGAGGCGGTCATGCAGGAGTGCGGGCACGGCCGGTTCCAGTGGACCTTCTACATGGTGCTGGGGCTGGCTCTCATGGCGGACGGCGTCGAGGTGTTCGTGGTGGCCTTTGTGCTGCCCAGTGCCGAGCGCGATTTGTGCATTACTGACGCTGGAAAAGGATGGCTTGGTATGGCCTACGTAACTATCACACACGCACACACACCTTGGGGTGGGAATGGTCTTAGTAGGTGCATTTAGCTAAACATGAGATTTTGGAAATACATAGGTCCACTAATACATATTAGTGCATTTATATTATGTATGAATATACTTGAATTGTTAACCTGTAAGCGTTTCTGTGTTAGCTATTTATAATAAGTTACATTTAGTAAATGATTTAAATCTTACAACTGGAATATACACATATTAGTTGACAATATCTCATTCCAATTTTTCTCAATTATATTGATTACATGAAAAAAACTACATACATAATTTGTATCACACAAGCCTTACACATAACCATAACGTTACTTCGGATAAATTCAAGTGATCTCATTGGCCCACACCAAGTTGTCACTTACATATAGTCGATGGCAGGTATGTCGTTTTATAGAAAATATAAATCCCAGAAACCTCCAGTTTCACCCTAAAAAAATGTATATGCATGTTTTTATTATAGGGGACATAAAATATGCTGCTGACACAATCACACAATTGCTGTGCCGTTTTGGAACTTTAATATTCCCTATCAAACATCACACTCATCGACTTTATCACCATTCTTTTAAACGAATGACTCATTGTGCCTGTTATACACTGCAGGGGTAGGTATTAGCAGGAAACAATACAACATGTGCTTGTTAACCCACTACATGTTTGTAGGAGGCCAACAAAAGTGGATTTGCTCAAATGTGACATTGCCATTGCTTCAAGGCCAGACTGACCTCTCCTACACAGTGCTTGCCTTTTAAATTGAATGTATTACATCGCAATTTTATGAACAACCAATAGAACTTGCCATAGGGTTGGGAACGTGATGGTCTCGGTCACTAAAATAGATATTAAATTCTAATGGAATGGCTTAGGCTATGGTTCTAACTTGACTACATTAGTTTTAGTTGCTCCCAAATGTAAATAATGGAAGTGTTTGGTTGCAGATATGTAGTACATGTCCAATGAGCCCAGATCAGATATTTCAGTTGCCGGTACCACTAAAGTTTATTATCTTAAGTGCTACAATTTCTGCTCTGGCTCATGGACTACAGAGGTTCTGTAATAAGATCACCAACTGCTGCAATGTTGGTCAGTAATTTAAATTGCGTGCTTCTCAAAACAATCAGCATTTGGAATGTATACCATTATAACATATAAAAAAATCATAACCCTTTCCAATTCTGAGACATCTGCAAGTTACAGGGTGGGTTCCTGTCATCGCTGAATCTCGGAATGTGTAAGCGGTTAGTGTTAATTTTATTTAGAGAGGCATAGTGCCATTGTTTTTAAAGACATTGTACTCACTGCAGAGAACTGACGCGACATGACCACACTCTGCGAAAGATGATGCCAAACTGAGCTACACGCCCTCCCACTTGGCCTTGTGGGAGCCTCGGTGCGTCTTCAGACTTGAAACAGTACCGATAAAGTACGTGTACATCATCAGAACGGAATTTGAAAAAAACTGATGATGTACAGGTACACTTATGTCATCGGAATGGGAAATGGTTAATTTAAAGTATTGATGTCCCATGCTCTCAAAAGGGGCAGTCCTCATAGAGCATGCAAATAGATGTGCTTTGATTGAGCACGCTGCTGCCTATGTGCAAGAGGTGAAGGGAGGAGGCAGTGCGAAACTGACGCCCCAGCAAGACATCAACAGCCAGACTCCGCATGTGGGAATGATCGATGCTCCATTTCATTTTAGCCTGAGCAGGCAGGCAGTCATGATAGTGTTGTTATTTGCAAGATGGTGACCATTTGCTCAATATTCATGAAAGCAAAGTATGCATATTAAACAGATGCTAGGTAGAGGATGACAAAGTGGTGAGTGAGAGAAATGTCCAATGGCAGCATGCATGCACCTTTAACGAGACACTGTGCAAGTGTAATACGAACCACAAGACGTGCACTTTTACGCAGGGTTACGTATTGATTTCCTTCCATTGAGCAAATGGTTATGGCTGAAAAAAAGGCAAGGACTGGATTATGCAGAATCACCAGACGCCTTGATTTAACTAAGGCGCCTTGAAGTTGAACGTAAAGATCCTGGATAAGAGCGGGAAATTGGGTCACCTGAGGTTGGTGACCTTTGAACTTGGCATTGGCATGTCAAGGTTACGTGCTTTTTTATGCATGTCAAGAATGATTGTACCTTTTTTTCTGAGAGGACACCGTCTGCAGGCACCAAGCATATCGCGCATATCGGTCATTAATGGAGAGGCCAGGATACGTATTTATAGCCCTCATTTAATGATTCTTTTTGGCCAAAAGGGGGCTACAGCAGTGAAGGCTTGGGTGTGGCAATGGCGGCGAGAGCAATCCAAGCAAAAAGCTGAGGGCTCCGTGCAGCTCAAGGGGCCACGGAGTCCTGAGGGGAAAACAAAACGTGGGTGCATCAAATGTCAGCTCAAATTCAAATAATAAAACACTGGCAAAATTAAAACGTACACCGCCAATGAATCTCTGTTATCTAAATCTTGTCCGCATCTCTCTTTTTTCCCCCTCATCTCAATACGTAATATTTCTGTCTATATTTCTCTTATCTCTCACTGCACCCGTGCTGCGTGTCTTGTATACGTTCTGTCGTTCCACTCGGATCTCATTCATTGCAAGGGAAGACCTCCCCACCATCCCCCACTCCCTTTAGTGCAGGTCCTAGGGCAAGAGCAGTCCATGTTACACACACATAGCAATGTATAGGCAAGGAGTCTCCATGTTGTATTCTTTTAACGGTCTCTTTGGAATTTACAAGTCTAAGTACATTTTATGCAATGTTTGCACTGACGTATTCTGCGAATCACTGCACAGCCTAGTGTGTTAATCGCTGCACCAACCTAACGCACATAGGTTGTACTGTTACAATTAGGTCACTGGGGTTCTGTCTCCCTCTCTATGATTAATGGTGGGGAACGAACTTGCTGTACACCTCATAGTGTGCCAAGTTGGTGGGGGGGGGGGAGTCAAATGGTACATTGCCCGAACCCTACCCCCGCAATGCTGCCTAAGCCACTGCAGAGAGCCAGATTTCCACAATGGTGTTTGGTAACATCACTCGCTCAGTCGTGGCCCAACTGGGGATCTCTTTTTGTGCGTTTGTGTCTTACATCCGCGTTTGTGTGCGTGCGTGCGTTGCCGGTTGGGAGCCATCCAATAGTGAGCCATCACCTTAGAGAGTTACCACCTGTTCTGGTTTTCAGGATTATCCACCTTATTATGGTAACAGTCTCGTTTTTTTTAATGCACCACTTGGCAAGGCACCACTCGAGACAATGGCACATGCAGTTCTCTCTCCCGGTAATTGTGAGATGTTCTTCTTCCCATGATATGTCCTGGCCTTGTGTGCCACAGAGGTGGCAACTCTATCCACTTACGACATCCACACAACCAGCAGCCTTACATTGTATCTGTACCAATTAAGATATTTCACTCATACTGTCATGAAAGGCTTCGTGAATTACCTAGTCAAACATTTTCAAAACCTTACGTAAATATGCAGTATCCAGTGGGTTTGTTCTATATCTCTAGTTTGTATTTTCATATGTCTGTGCTTTTTCTTATTCATATTTCACCTACATGCTCATTTTACGCTGCATTGCCTGCCCGCCCTTTGCAAAAGCATAACCAAGGTGGGGTGGGCTGAATTTGTTTTTAATCTCACGATCATTGGGCACAGCTCGTAACTCCACACAAGCGGGATACGACTGTTGATTCACATCACAACCATGTCGATCTGAACCAAGGTTTAGGTCTTCATACGTTACTGCTCAAGGTAAGGTTTGATCCTGCGTAGTGGAACTGTGAAATCAAATCCCAGTCACCGTTTGAAGCAACCTATTAATTAATTCAGGCAATTAAAACATGTACCGCTTTTTTATATTATTTGGGTCTTTCGGTAAAGTCACGTAGATAGGTTCAAGGAAAAGAACAAAAAATAACAAATAATAATTTTCTTTGAACCTGTCTACGTGACTTTACCGAAAGACCCAAATAATATGAATTCCTGCAATCACGAAAGCTTTAAGTCAAGATGTACCACTTTGTGGATATTCAAAATTGGTGATCCCAAAGAGAGACTTGTCCCTAGCCATATGAATGTGGAAATTACACCACGAGCTTATAACCGCTCTTGGGAATTGACAAGGTTCAGAACTGATTGCATGTTGAAATGTTTTGTAAAAGTAGTCCATTCATTTATGATAATTTAATTCTACAAAATCATTGCTGAGGTAACGCCACAATTCTCAGTCACGTGATTCAGACTTCTCACTTTAACCTGTAAGTGAGCACATTACAACGATCTTAATGTGCTTCCAGTGGCCTCCTTTTTACCTGTACGTACAAGAATGACAAATATCAGCTGCGTGGCAGCGCCTGTATTCAATCTTGGTTTCCAGTTTCAGGTGACATGTGCAGGTGGAATTATTAAGTGACTGGAGTGCAAGCGTGCTATCTTAATCAGTGCCTTTTTTGTTGGACACGGCACATGGAGACCATTCAGTTTCCCAGGAGAACTGGCCCGATGGGAGTCTGACATTGGTGTGTTATTGTGCGTTGCCTTTGCAACATCAATGAATCCACCTGAGCCTGGAACACTGAAGGCGGAGTTTGTATGTCTTACTAAATATAGCTGCAAGCTATCAATGATTACAGTAACTTCTAAATCCTTTATGGATTTTGCTTATCAAAGGGGCGTCCAGAAAATACCTCCATATTGTCCCTTCTGTTGCTACGACCACAGCAAACTCCGCTGCCTATCTTAATCTTGCATCAATCACTTGGTGAAAATTGATGCTGCTGTCCCCAATGGACCCATCTCAGATGTGTCCTCTCTTCATTTGTGTTGGGTACAATTTTCTGTTTTTTTATTAATTCCCATGACCCTTGTAATAACCCCCGTGCCGTTGTTGGGTTGTGTTGTATATCGTACACCCACGTGCTACCTCTGACAGGCACCCTGGTGTACCTGGGCATGATGATGGGCTCAATAGTGTGGGGCGGCCTCGCGGATCAGCAGGGCCGACGCCAGTGCCTGCTCATGGCGCTCACAGTCAACAGCCTCTTCTCCTTCCTCTCCTCCTTCGTCTGGGACTACGGCACCTTCATCTTCTGCCGCTTTCTGGATGGATTTGGGTTTGCTGTGCACTTGGCTATCGGGCAAACGCACACACACACACACACGCCGGGCCTCTTGACTATTGAACCCTGTTGACGGTGGTGCGCAAGGACATAAGTTTAGTGAGTACAGTCTGGCACATTTATCATTAACACTGCCTTATGACAGACAAATATATGGTAGACTGAAGTTTTGGTCAGTGGCCCTTCTTCGAAGAAGCGAGGGGGCAGAGAGACTGAAGGAGGTTGCACTTTATATATTTGATTTAAAAAATACATAACACTTGACACTCCCCCATGTCAGGGCATGCATGCGAAGGTGCCGCGAGCTTCCCAGGGACCGTGGGATGCAGATACCGTGCCCCCCTGCAAGTCAACGTACATGATCTCAGGGAAACCATTCTTATCCAAAAATTCATTTATCCATGACCTCATCCCACCACTTCCTTGGAGACAAGATCAGATTTATTCTACAGTCGCAATTTGCAGAACATGTAGCTAACTATATATACGTCTCTTCCCTTTACATTGTATCGCGAATACGTCGTCACTTTATTAATACCACGACTTGATTTGCGTCGCCACAATCCACACTTACGTCGCTGACGGCACTATCGGTCATTTCTCGTATCTGTCGCCTCGGACTTCGCCTCCACCTACCCTGTAAATCGCTTTGATTGACGTCGTTTCGATATTCGTCGTCGCACCTTACTGTATATACATTTGAACTGCAAAAATTTTAATCAAACACAAATGGGCGTGGATATAATTTTTAAAGCCATGAGTCACTGCTGGAAACTACATAACTTCTGGGACAGTTTATTTATTTTAATAATTTTAGCTTTTGGCGTCATGTCATGAGAGCAAGAAATTTCTATTTCTTACTCTCGTAGCTGGCGGTGTGCATTGATTTTGTGTTCCAGAAAGTTCCTAGAAAATGACACCTCAGAAATAACTTTGAAGTGTCTGTAATAAATCTATATAACCTCGCTTGTGGCATAACTTTTAATGTCCCTCAAAAAATTGGTTTAATGGCATGCCAATCAAATAGCAACATTTCATTTTCAGAGCTGGATGAAGCCAAATTCATATGAAAAAAATACATTTATTGGTGACAATGCTGAAAAGGCCCACTGGCTCCAGTTGAGCACTCTGATTAATAATGGGTGGCCAACACAGCATTCCAGTGGTGCCAGTGCAAGTGTCTTGACTCCTGAGCTTCTAATGAATCTCCAATAAAAGTTAAATTTAATAACATATGAATGTGAATGTCACATTTTACGGTGGTGCAGTGGACCACCGCTACGAACCTGTAAAAGTGAGTTTGATTCACACCACAGCTAATGTCAGTGGTGAGAGATTTTATTAAACTGTCCTTGGTCTCCCCTAGGTCAACTCAGCCTTAAATGAGTACCTTGTGTGATGTGAAAAAATCTGCACTGTTGAGACAAAGGCAGACGTGCATGGTGCTAGTAACACTAATCCCTCACTAGCATCTGTTAATGGCTGCGTGGAGGATTTTAGTGGGTGTTATTTTATACGTGTATACATACACAGCATTAGTGAAGAAGTGGTTAGTGCACTGTGTTACGAACGCGGCAGCCCGAGTTCAATTCCCACTCGGGCCCAACATCGGAGACGAATATGTTAACCAGTCCAGGGATTCCCCTTTACCAACTCGCATTGTCCAGCTTGTTGAAGTATGGTGAAAACATTCTCCTTGACCGACACACCATGCGAAGGCCTTCATTCCTGCAGTGGATTTACAAAGGGACTGTAGATTCTTATTTTTATTGTTATTGTGGGTTTTTAAATTTTAAATAATAGTCACTATACCTCAAATAATAATTAAACGTATAGGCAGTGTTAATGACGAGGGGATTAATGGTATTCTGGTCTGTTTTAATGCAAAACTGCCAACGTCGTCATAAATATATATAATACGCAATTTCATGCAGATTAAATATTCAATGGCGACTACGTAATGGTCATAGTGATGCATCACAATCAATGTTATTGATGCCACAACACCTCTCCATTACTTTCTTCATTATTCCAGATCTTGTAACTGTTGCACAGTTGACACCCAACTTTCAATGTCCGCCCTCACATTATCCACGATGGTATCTGGCTTTAGACATTGCCCTTGATCACAGATCTCTGGGTGTCCACTCTATTGACTGTATCAGTGAAATGCCATCTCCGGTCTTGTATACATACCTACTCATCACAACGCCATTTCTATGATTACATCTGCAGTGCTTTCCTTATACATTCGCTGTTACTGGTAGGAAGCTTCTGGTTACACCAGCCCACAGGGGATTATTGTGTCCGTCCGTCCGTCGTGCAGGGAGGGGCTGGGTGGGGAGGGAGGGGCTGGGTGGGGAGGGGAGGGGAGGGTGGGGAGGGGCTGGGTGGGGAGGGTGGGGAGGGGCTGGCCACCCCGTGGTACCCTTATAAAACTCAATGTTTAACCTACTCACGCCGGCTTGTGCCCGCCCTCACAGTCGGGCATATTTGCGGAATACACCACGCCGCCGTTGACCCTGGTCATTGACCGAGCAACCCAACGTTCCTACCAGCTCCCTCTGCAGGAATGTGTTTAACTTGCAAGTGGCTTACCATAGCTTGAGTTGCAATTCCTAGCGTGTACCACATACACTGACTGATATTTTACTGCAAGTTGCCCACAGAACAAAAACATTACACCCGTCTCGTGCACCAATCTTTAAACATGAAAGTTGACCTCGGATTGAGAAACGAACCAACGAACGAAAGTTGACCTCTGTATATTTTTTCAAAGGACAATCTCCATAAATCAAAAATGATCATCCAAGTCGTGAATAACTGGACATTGGTCTTGGGACACCTAGCGCATTGCAACTGCTACGTGCAAAGACGCCTCCTAGAGGGCAGTAACAGCCACAACAGGGCATTAAGAACCTGGGGCTACCATTTAGTAAAATTTCTTGCCCGGTGTGCGGGGAAATAACAATAACTTAGCAATTTACAGAAAGGCCATGGAATAACATGTGGTGGTTCTTACTCCCCCTCAATGAATGGCATTCGTTAGAATAAATAAATAAATCACCCAATCTAACGTGTCTACAGCCATTTCCAACATTTGATTGCCTTGATTTAAATTCATGTTTTTATAAATGTTTTCTATGCCAAAATGTTAGCGTTAATTATCGTACAGAACTGTGTTACCAAAGACAAATGAGCCACCAGTGGGACAATACCATCCATAGACGCATGGCGAGGAGTAGTTACTGCTCAGCGTTCTTTCAGCCGCCAGCCGGCACACGATGAAATTAGCTCTATGTGATAAAAAAAAAAATCAACACATTGGTCAATTCTATTGGGCGTGTGTAACCATTGCCAATGGCGGCATCACCAAATAATTCATAAATTATTTGTTCTATCATGATAATACTATTCAGTCTGTGGACTAATTCTCTGTAGTACTCAGAGGAAAGCCACACAGAGAACGAATTCACACTCACAAATATGCACGTTTGACAAAACCTGTTTGCTGTACTGCCACCTTCTGGTCAGATCGCGGCCCATTGGGTGAGACGTGAAATGGCACTTGATGAAATGTGGGCATAATCCACCAACCAGCCCTGCTTTCAAACATAGTCCGCCAGCCCTGGATAACAGGCATTCATCACTATACTCAGAACACTCTTATATTTGTATATGTTTGGAGTGGAGCAATTGCTCAGTAATAGTGCACTGCACTACTTATTATTATCATCATCACCACGCTTGTTTACTCAAGAAAGCCTCTTGGAATCGTATTACTTTTTCTCAGGAGGATCCTGCCAAGTTTTTTTTGCAGCAGACAGGGGGCGATGATTGCTCTGTAGATTCCAATCCAGTAATTTGCGGGCAATTTTTCAAATTTGTACAATTTGGACCACGAACTTGGCCATCTGAATTCGAATCGTGGCCACGGCCACTCTGAACAAGTATGTGTGTCAAGAGGTCAACATGACCAATGCCATAGATCCTCGCACACATTGCCATTGCTTCTTGCCTCCTGCTAGATCCCTCACTAGCTATAGATTAACATTGAATGACAAGCAATTTAAATCCCTACCCGTATGGCAATTGCAGCGCAGTGTTTATGCGGAGTCAACAGTGCAATGGTGGCTGGTTTAAATTGGAGCTATAGGCTCTGTTATGTAACTTTCAAGTGTAGGACATTTTTTTGTCTGATCTTGACCCAACATTGTGACCGAATCATAAGTCTCTCATCCGAATCTCCTATCAAAAACTAGGTGCAGCGTGACTTTGGTGAACTCTGTTACATTAAGATTAAGTCTTCCATTTATGCACATTTCCAAACATTTGCAATAAGACCACAGATGTCTGTGCGGGTTCACAGGTTAGCTTCACCGTATTCATGATCTCTAAAGTAAGCAATATCAGATAACTGCATGTTCCGCATGGACAACAAGATACAGATTCACTTTTGGTATTGAACACAAAAAGAGCCCCAACACATTTATTGTTAACCCTTCCTTAAAAAGAAAAAGTATTTCATAGTTAATATATCGGGCAATGGCCATTCGTCGCAGACCTCTGGCCTATGTAGTGTAAATAAGGACAGGGTCCAATATGTTGCCGATTATATACTTTTATTATGTTTTTTTCTTTTCTTTGGACAACAAGATAGGCAGTGTTATTGTTGAATGTGTTGTTGTCTTGTTAATTTGTGCACCACTGCCAATGCAGTTTCACCACGTAATATCTTACTATTTAGTGCATATGTAAAAACATTCCCTCATTTTTATGTCATGGGAGATTCATATGCGAAATTTGTAAACTTACCCTTGACTAAATAGTATAAATAATTACGTATCAACTTTACAAACGATGGTTTGAAAGAGGCCGCGAGCTCAATAGGGTGCCACGGTGGCGAGATGTTAACTACCTCGCCTGATATACAGGAGCTCGTGGGTTCAATCCCTACCCTGACACCTGTATATTTGGAGTTTGCATGCTCTTCCCGTGGTCGTGTGAATTTTTCTCAGGGTCCTCTGGCCTTTCCCTCTACATTTACAAACGCGAGTTTAGAGTATTTGGCTGCTATCAGTTTCCACGTGATAAGCCACTTCGTTGAGCTATCATTTGTGGCCAGGTTGCTTCTGAAAAATGACTATATTGTTCAGCGGGCCTTACCTGGTAAAATAAAAATAATTGTCTTGAATTGTTTTAGGCTCTAACCTGCTTGACTGCATGTGAATGAATGGAATTGCTGATGCATGTGTTATTTTGCACGGTGTGACTGGATGCAGGATTGGTGGGATCATCCCGATTGTATACTCATATTATGCCGAGTTCCTGGCCCACGACAAGCGAGGGGAACATCTGAGCTGGCTGTGCATGACGTGGATGTTTGGGGGAATCTATGCCTCTGCTATGGCCTGGGCCATCATCCCTCACTACGGTGAGGCCTTCCACATGACCACCATTATGCCACAAGCAAGCACGTGCCTCCTTTGCTCATGCAACCGTTTTCTGTCATATGCATTCAGGGGTTTGCGTCGCGTTGCTCCCGTGTGCCTGTACATGATATTTTGAACCCACCGGGAGTGTAACGATTTACTCTGTTGACAATTCAGGGAATTGTTCCGGGCTTGAGTCAATAATTATATTATTTTTTATATTGTGGTGAATATTGTGGCCTCTGGTGTTTGCAGGAGTCAATGAACCTAATAAAAACATGACTTTTACATGCACGATTCAATACATTTTGAGCTTAAAAAGTCAATATTAATCATTAAAATTACGGATTGTTACACCCCTAGAAATTACTATTCGAGTTGTGTTGCATGGATTTAAGACTGACTCGTCAAAATCAGTAGATTTCAAAGGTATGAATGTGGCATCATTATGCATGGGTGTGACACAGAAAACATTTAGAAATGTCTCCATTTCAAGCACATGTAAAAACATGTTTTTTCATATAGACATACTCTGCACCTATGAATTAAGTGTGATTGATGAGGCAGCCTTTTATTTTATTGAAGAAAGTGATAAGCAAAATAAAATTGACAGCTTTTCAAGAGGACCACGTCATTCAATAACAAGTAAACAGCTGATAATTGGTTCTTTACCCTTCTATCTGGCAACAAAACTGACACCTTTTTGCAAAAAGGTGTCAGTTTTGTTGCCAGATAGAAGGGTAAAGAACCAATTATCATATTTTTACTGGCAAATGAGGTCCCCATAAAGTAAACAGCTCATAACATCAAATGGAGTGCGTGTTAAATAGGTACAAGTGACCATTGTAATTATAGCAGAAATCCTCACAAAATGCACAAATAAAAAATGGAGAAAAAACTTGGCCTTGGGATTGCTATAAAAACAGTAAAGGAAATTTGACTGCTTTTGGGTGACAATATATTTATTTACAGCAGGTGAAACTCAAGTTGTGATTAAACAAGCCCCGAGCCCTATTCGGTGTGGAGAAGCCTTCATCCAGCAGTGGATTGACAAAGGGCTGTAAATTAATAATTTTATCTTAAATTCACGTCGCAGTAAAAGAGATGCTGCAGCCAAGATTATAGGACACTAGGTGGCCTCGTTTTTACGTGCTGACGACATGTGTTCACTTACTGCAATGGGAATTTAGATTCCTCTACAATAATAATTAAAACATATTTTTAACTTCATACTGGTTCATGGACAATGAATGACATATACGTAAATATTTTTTGAGGCTGTGGTGATCTACACTACAGGGTTAACTGGATGTGAAGGCCACTCGGTTTGTTTTTCTGAAATATGATCACTTGTGTTGGCAGCTTGAGTATATTCAGAGCTGAATATGAGGGGAACTCAATTACTGTAATGCTAGAATATTCTGATTCGAGACGCCACCTGCCCACATCATTGTGGGTAAAATGAGCTATTCTGTTTATGTAAAGGGAAAACTAGAGAATGTAAAAATATTGTTCCCCATCCTGATAATTTATTCAACAGAGTCGACATGCAACAGCATACACTTTTCACCCCCTCCTGTTTTATAGTCATATAAGCAAACTGGTTTTGGCTGTGTATGCATTTTAAACAGTGTATATTTTAACTGATAATGAATTGCTGAAATGTACTAATGTATGATTCATTATTCATCTTCTGGATGAAAATATCCTCATTGCATATTTTTTGTTTCTAGGGGTGGAACAGTTCACCCCAGTGGCAGATCCACGATTTTTTTTTGCAATTCAGGATCAAGATCCGATTCAATCATCTTCACTAACCTGCTTCTCTTCTTTAAAAAAAAAACAAACTCCTCTTCGGAGCGCATCCCACTGGTCCTCCCAATCCAGCCCCACCCCAACACCTCCTTAACCGCTCCTGCCTCTTCTCCTGTCACCATAACTGCACCACCACTTTTAATAACATCGCTGTTTATCTCAACCACTATCACGTTAAGTACAATTTCATAATTGCTGTAAGATAAGATAATGTGTTCTCTTTAACATTATGGTAAATGGCAGTGCCCCTTAATGGCCGCAGTGGAGATATGAGCATCAATCGTTGTACATGTGATTAAATTTGTGTATCGTGAGCTTATACATCGATGTTTAATCGATTCACCCTTTTTATTGAGTCTCATGAGCAGAATATGGCCCCACATTAGAGAATAGAGCTATTCACCACCATTGAGGAGCCATAATATCCTAGCTAGATTTATATAGTACCTTAACCCGAGGCACTTTACAGCAATTATATGAAACGGTACATAAGATGAGGCTGGTTGAGATAAAGTGTGGGGTTATTAAAAGTGGTGGTGTAGTTGTCGTGAAAGTTGGGAGGACAGGCAGGAAGGGGTTGGGGTTTGCCTGGTCTTAAGCTGGGGTTGCGAGGGCAGGGAGTAGCAGTAAGATGAGCTCGGGAGAAGAGATGGGGGGGTTGTTTTAAGGAAGGAGTGGAAGGTGGTTCGTGAAGGTGATTGTTTTATGTGCAGTGGGAGTTTGATCCGGTGAAGGGGGAGCAAAACGGGCAAATGAAGGAAAGCGTGATTGGGTACAGGGTGAAGGAGGCACAGCGAGGGACAGCAGAGATTTTCGAGTGCAGAGGACGGGATGTTGCAGCAAAGCTTAGCTTGTGCACAGTTTTATAAAAAAAAAACATTTGCCAAATCACAGCATGAAGACTTGAAGCCCTGCAGGATGTTTGCAAGCCCGCTGCTGGGTTTGTCTTGTGTGTGCTCGCTTGGCGTGCAGGCTGGAGCTTCGGCATGGGCTCCGCTTATCAGTTCCACAGCTGGCGAGTTTTTGTGATCGTGTGTGCGCTCCCAGCAGTCGCCTCCATCGTGTGTCTAACCTTCATGCCCGAGAGCCCACGTCACCTGCTGGAGGTAGAGACACAACCGCAAGCCTCACCGGTCCTTTCCACGATGCTGATTCTCGCCTCCTCAGCTCACGATTTACTTGTATTTTTTTGCCAAAAATCAATCCGGTAATAAAAAGAAAGATTATTATTGTAATAATATATTCTACGGATATTCAGTGCCACGTGCAGCATACTATGCAGCCAGTTAGCCTAGTGACAGAATTCCAGACTTTCGCATTAAATTTAAACAAATGCATACCGAGTATTAAGAAATATTACCCAGAATATTAGTGAGTTTAAATAAGAGCATTTTTAATCAGCACCCAGCACACGGTGGAAGCCGACTGAAGATAGCAAACACAACCTGCACAAAACACAGACAACTTACCACAGAAGGGTTGAGGCTGTTCTCAACCTGATACATCTTTAGACAAATGCTAATCGTGACAGACAGGGCATGGGAAGGGCCTTCATTCAGCAGTGCATTGTTTTATTTTATATTTTATATTGTAACAAGTGAGTCGAGGCTTGCACATGTCCCCACTGCATGCTCGGAGGCAACAAGGGATGGGGGCCACAGCACACAATGAACATTGACCCCACAGAGATGCCGCTCAGTGAGCTGTCCTCTCAGATAAAATAAGCAAGCTATATGAAAGCTGAGTAGTGTAAAGGTGTAGCCTTACAATTGCTCCACTACCAGGGAGTTCTATAGAGACCATTTCTAGGGTATTCTTGGCCGACTCTTCCATGCTGGCCAGAGATTTTGGGAGAGGCGAGAGCACCTACAATTTCACCCCTCCCCCCAAAATTCGACCGGCCGATCAACGAACTGTGTGGTTGTACCCAGTCAGCTGCTGGGTGAACAGAAGTGCAATAAACGTGTCCATTGCTTTATCGACAACGCCGGAGATTAAACCGTATGGGGGACATCTGTATTTAAAGTCCAGTGTGTTAACAATTGCACAATAGCAACATCCTTGAGTAACTAAGCAAACGATGGGGTTACCCAACATTTTGCATAAAAGCAGTATTAAAACACACTGCAGTATCACCGGCAGGGTTAAAAGTGGTAATTTATAGATATTTACCAGAGCAAATGTGTTGAATTCGTTTTTTTTAATTCATGTAAGGCCCCTATTTTAAAACGTTTCAATATTCAGGACCCCCTCCACCCCCTTGCGTAGTTTTCTAAACGTGCCCATTGTCACAGGACTACACCCACGGCAGTGAAACCAGCCCCATACCCCTTTTTCTCCATCTCAATGGGAAAGGGCAATTTAACTCGGGACTAAATACGCTTGTGCTTCTGAACGAAGCAGACATTCTCACAGGCCGGTGAGCTACGATCAGAAACAAAAGCAGCGTGGGAAAAAATATCTCTTCACGGGAGTGGTTTGATCACAGGAATGGCGCAATGTGGAAGCTGGCTACTCAGTTTGTGAGCCTGCCCCGGGACACGTGCTGCTCACGAGTAAAATGCCAATACGAGGCAAGCCAGCCTCGAGCAATACCGGTCAATTAAGGGAAACAAATGGCCGTGCTCGCTTGGCTATAAGGTGTTCTGTTGACGTAATAAGGGCATCTTCTATAAATACGTGTGAGGATTGCACACAATCGTGCGAATTGTGTTGTGCGGTGACACGCAGATGGGCAAGCACGATGAAGCATGGATGATTCTGAAGCGAGTGCATGACACCAACATGAAGGCACGTGGACATCCGGAGAAAGTGTTCACCGTAAGTTTAAAACCAGCAGTATCTATTGCATTATATCTGGCCTGTTATTTGTTACATGTTGTTTATCTTTCCCTTTGATGTTCCCGCTGTGTTCTTGGCTCTTGAAAAACTGTAAGAATTAATTATTAAAAAAACTAACAGTAATCTGCAGGGTTATCTGAATTAAGGAAGTAGATACTATGGATATAGAGTTTAATTGAAACACATGGCATAGACAGGTTCAAAATATAAAAGTTGGTAATAATCATTGTATTCTTTGGGTCTTTCGGTAAAGTCACGTAGATAGAAAAAGTAATAACAATAAAGTAATACAAATCTAAATGAAAATAAAGTGAATAAAAATATTCACTTTATTAAAATAAAGTGAATAAAAAATATTCACTTTATTTTTAATTTTTATTGTTATCATTTTTCTATCTACGTGACTTTACCAAAAGACCCAAAGAATATGGATTCCTGCAGTCACGAAAGCTTTAAGTCAAGACTTAATAATCATCGTACTTCACATTGTGTCTATACTGGTTTCAATTCCCGTAGATGCCCTCTGTGTGTACCTGAATAGTTCTTTCAATTAAATACTTTTGGAAAAAAAGCTAACAGCATCACAGGCAGCTTCACAACACTACAGGAACGTTTACTAGGGAATGTGTTTGCTCTTGCATCTGACCATAAGACTGATTTCGTCACTCATTGAAATCGCATGCACAATTATAAAATGGCAATTAAGCACACAATTAAATGAACATGTACAAAAAAGTGCCTTTTCTATTATATATAACAGCATTAATGCGTATATTATAAGTATGGTATTTTGTGCTAATTTCTGATAGTTTACTTACAGTAACAGCCAATGATACAGACCATTCAAACTGTCTCCCTACTCAAATATGCAATGGGGCTGGTGCTTATCTTGTTTTTATAGCCCCGAGTCAGTATGTACTGATATTCCACAGTCTCTTGGCGGGACCAGTCCATCCATTGATATTTGTTGACTCTTCCCCCAGCAGATGGAAAGGTTGCTTGTGAGTTTAAAAGCATTGATTTTCCTCAACTCTCCTCAAACATACAATGGCATCTTACCTTGAATGGATGAAATCATACAGAACCAACCAACTCTTGCTCTGTGTTTGAGTGTATTTCGCTCCTAGGGTGTAGTTATTTCACATGCCAGACAGTGCGGGGAGCGATTACACATCCCAGCACACAGTAGGAGCCAACACGAGATGGCAAACACGGCATGGCCTGCAGCACTTTCAAACATTACGTCCACGTTTATTCCATTTTTTAAGATGGAATTTTAAGATGGAATTTTATTGTGCTCAATGTATGGTTTAAAATGTAATTATTTATTTATAAAATTTTAGAGAATGCTTTAATTGCACTTTTAGTTTCAATTTATATTGTCTTATCCACAAATTGTATACTGATTGATAATAGGTTTTCCCCTTTTTTGTGGCAACAAAACAGGTGTTGAGATGTTAAAACACCAAACTGAAACCTTTTACAAGGAATCATGTCTGCATTAACCACAATACCTGTGGTCAGCATGCAAACAAAAAACATACTCTGATAATATATGCATTGTCTTTGAAACTGATTGGTCCACACCAGAGACAGCTTTCTTTTGAGCCTAGTCTCAAAACGGTGTTAGACCAGAAGACACCAAAAGGCGTACAGCACAAAGACAATGCAATATCTAAGCAATGAGAGCTCGGGGTGAGCAGCTACATCATGGCACCTTTTTCTTGCATTCTGACCACAGGTATTGTGGTTAATGCAGACATGATTATTTGTAAAAGGTTTCAGTTTGGTGTTTTTACATCTCGACACCTGTTTTGTTGCCAGAAAAATGGCGAAAACCTATTATCATATTTTGGTACTGGCAAGGGAGTTCCCATGATGTATGCTGATTGTTTCCACTGGGAACATGTCATGAGCTATAGACTCTATTAGGGACTTTTCAGAGCATTGCAACACCCCGTATTAGAGACCAGAAGCAGATATCACAGATTACTTCTGAGATCCCTTCAAGTGAACTCTTATTCTCAGCCGACCTGCTGTAGGGCAATGATCTTTGGATGACAATTGTGCAACAGGCATTGAGAACCCGGTTTCATTTCGGGTGGCTGCCCAGATTCAACCCCAGGAAATCAGCAGTGACAGCTCTGATGTCTGAGCCACCTGGCACCTCAGTTCTCATTTAAATAATATTTTAACTATTCATTAGATAATGCGATGTCTACAGTTGAACTTGCACGGTTTGATGTGTCACGTTAACATACCATGTTAAACAAGTTCTTTGTTCGTAAAAAATTTTTTTATCATTCATTTAAATATGGCCTATGAAGGTCGCAAACACAACCTCCACCTTCTCCTTTTACCTGTGCTGGCCCCGAGCAGGTAACCGATCTGGTGATCGAGCCAAGGAAACTGAACACATTTGTCAATAATACCGCCTTAAAATAAAAATAAAGTGTTATTGACAAATGTGTTGAATTTGTGTTATTTTGTGCACCACTGCCAACACATTATCACCATAACCTGCTTAGCCTTAAAACATTCACCCATGTTGGAATATAGAAGTTAGTCTGTCAGGAGGCTTGTTGCGTGTACATCACCAACAATGTAGCCCGTGACAAGGGTGAGAGTTGCAGAGGAACACGCCACTGTAATTTCACAGTGCTGCAACTCATGTTGAATGGTGCAACGCAGGCAAATACAATGTTGTCAGCAACTTATATTTCATTTCAGCATGAGATCCATGAACTGACACGTGTGTGCATGTGTACATCATCAGCATAAGCATATTATCATTAATTGATAAAATACAAGTGTACATGTGTTGGTGAATGGTCGGTCCTAGCCAGAAGTGGGTTGATGTGCTGGTGTCAGGACCAGATAATCCTTCCCTACCCCCTCCCTGGGTCTTCCTACCAAATGCTGAATGTGCTTCATTAAGTCTGAGTCGCGAGCATTAATACTGAAGACTAAAAATATAAATGCACCTTACTCTGACCGAGCCTCAAGTATTCCCACTGAACTCTTAGAATCTTCTGGTACCACTAGTCCGCATCATTTGCCTCAGGCTTTAACGGAAGAGCTTTAGAATCCTAAAGGTACCTTGAGTTTTCTGAATCTGTGGCATGAACAGATAATCCTAAGAATCACACAGGTACCTTTGTCTGGTCGCTGGGTCTTGGGCATTGACAGTGAACCCTAAGGACCCCAAAAGTACCTTAGCTTGGCTTTGTGTGCTCATGAAATGAAAAAGAAGTCAACACCTATATGTCAATAACATTGTGGCCTTAAAAGGAAAATATATATAATAGGCGACGTTTCTGGAAATGGCCCTTCTTCATAGCACAAAATAGAAAGGCCAGAGAGAGTGTATAGGGGTTAGAGACTGCACTTTACACTATGGGGCCTGATATGGCCTGAAGAGAATCACATTTAAAAAATGTTCTGATTGCCATGTTTTTGTGTGCATGCACCATTTGGTGTATATATGTGCGCTCACCTTCTAAGTACAGTTGTGATGCACATGCTTTTGAAGTTGTATAAATTGCACTTCTTTGTATACTGTACCTCATTTTAAAATGTATCTAATTTTGTATTTCTTCTTCATATACATTGTAAATATATCTGCATTGCATATTGCTCCGTTTTGTCTGATTGCACTTGTTTTATGCTTGTAAACTTTACACTTCATGACCTAGATATCCCTTGAAAGGGAGACTTTTAGTTTCCATGGGTTTTCATTTAATGGTTAAAGCCGATTTTAATATAAAATTAATGAGTATGAAACCCAAATGAATTAATCTTGTCAGGTGCTCTAACTTATTAACATAGACGTTTACTATGAAGTATGTTCCACATTTCATCATTCACTAATGAATGCTCATAACGACAATTGTTATTGGCGATGCACTGTGTCCTAACCATAGGTGACTCAGCTGAAGGTGGTGAAGCAGGTGGACGGCGTGACGGAGTTGAACTCTGACACGGGGACGTGGCACCGCCGCTGGGCCGCCAGAGCCACCTGCGAGGCCTCCAAGGTGTGCAGAACGGTGACACGCAAGAACCGTCTCCCCCGCCGCCGCCGTTGTCACCGTAACCAATAGATTGAATATTATTGTACACCATTGGAACCTCATTTGCCAGTAAAAAAATATGATAATTGTTTTTTTACCCTTCTATCTGGCAACAAAACTGACACCTTTTTTTACAAGGAGTCATGTTTGCATAGACCACAATACCTGCAGCCATAATGCAAACAAAAAACATAACTCTGATAATATATGCACTGTCCTTGAAGTTGATTGGTCCACACCCAAGAGCTCTAAGGAAAGCTGTCTCGGGTGTGGACCAATCAACTTTCCTTAGAGCTCTAAGGAAAGCTGTCTCGGGTGTGGACCAATCAACTTCAAGGACAGTGCATATATTATCAGAGTTATGTTTTTTTTTTGCATTATGGCTGCAGGTATTGTGGTCTATGCAAACATGACTCCTTGTAAAAAAGGTGTCAGTTTTGTTGCCAGATAGAAGGGTAAAAAAACAATTATCATATTATTGTACACTTAGAATTATCATATGAACCTTATGGCGGGACCCCGGGGTCCCGAATAAACGGAAGTCAAAATCGTAATTAATTAACTTGTTCCTGTGATATTCTATGATGAGCAAACGCATGCATGAAGAGTGCCTCACAGGGGATAAAAAGTGCTATTTCATACAATATCTCAATTGCATATCGACTGATTGAGCAGAAATCCTTTGTATGGTTTATCAATGGAGTGGATCAGTGGCACAGTGATTAACGCCCTACCACGGATAACGTCAGTGATGAATGATATCTGAACCTTGCTCTGTCCCTTTCACCAACCAACTTTGATTAAAGTACAGGTATCCCTCGATTTACAAACATTCGGTTTATGAAATTTTGCGTTAATTGCAATTGACAAATTATGGGCACTGTTTGATTGACGAATCAAATCTCCACGTAAACGAAATTTCACGCGGCACGCACACCATGAGATCAAACAAGAAGCTCCCGGGAGGCTGCGTCATCCATCTGCGAGAGCGTCACGGTATCCTTAGAGTGTACCAGTAATGCCTCCACATCACTTTACAGTCATTCCAACATGCAGAATTTCGGTGATTTCCCTCGAAAAAGTGAATTATTTTTGTTTAAAATGCATTATTCAATCATCTTAATAATTATGTTCTGTATTATTCTGGTTGTATTGTGAAAAGTGATATAGGTGTGTATTTTAGGGTTAGGAGTAGAGATGGAATGACTGTCTGAAACGCATCCTTAATTTTTCGTATTAAATTAATGGGAAAAGCCATTCCGGTTTACGAGGTTTAGTTTTACGAGCGTAAATCGAGTTTTATCTGTCTGGTCAACCAACTGCTATGACCGACACGCGTGGCAAGGCCCTCATCTAGCCATAGATGTGAAAGGGAGTCCACACAAGTCATCCTGGTAAGATAACTTTATTATTCCAGTAACATCAACATGAACACTTGCAGGGCACGAACGCCATTGTTGACGACTGTCGTTTTCTTTCCCGGAGCCCACGTCCCTCTGTCTTCTCACTGCCTTATCTACCCTCTCTCTTCCTCTCCTTTTTCCCATCGATGTGTATCGTTTTGGGTGTTCTCCCCCCAATCACCTATCACTTTTTTAGCACATTTCGTACCAGCCCACTTCTTCAATGATTTCTCTGGGCGTGGTCACTTGACCTTTGCGTATACCCCGCACGACATATACACGTGGACAAATGGTTGTGAATGATTATTCATGGAATTGACGTTGACTTAAGTGTATGATCCTTATTTGTAAACATAAAAAAACATAAAAAAACACATTAAAGCTGCACACGGGGTAATAGAATTTATAAACTGTACAGAATTACCACTTGCATTTCATTTACTGAAATTGGCAAATGTGTATATGCTTCATTTTCATTACGACGTTTGCTTGAAAAAAAAGTTTAGTGTACTGACATAACCATTGTGTTGGTAATATTCCATCAGTCACCTATTTAAACATTAATTATATTTACAGAAATGTAAAGCTTTATTTATTTATATCTTTCTCTTTATTTTAATCACTCTTCTTTAAACTATCAATTTGCAGCAACAGGACATGCCTTTAATTGTACCACTGTACTTGGTTTAATTAAGCATCATCCTTCAATGTCAAATATCATTAACAGTTAATTCCCTTCCAAGCTCCAATATATGCCAGCAGTCTTCACAGTGAATTGGTCGAGAGAGAAATTTTTTACATTCTGCAAATGCATCGAACCTCAGTGGTGTATCTATTTTCTTGCCATTGACTTCCCGTTCCCTTTCTGAACTGGTGAGGCATTTATTAAAGTCAATGATCACAAATTAATTAACTTTTTACCGGAAATGGCTTATGTGAACGTCTTGAAATTAGACGCTGACATTGGTAGCTGAACAACTCAAAGGTAAAACACCAGGTGGGTTAATTCTTGTCTTTACCAAACCAAACACAAAATGGTTACACCCACTTGACAATTGTGGAAATGGCTATATTCCTCTGCAATCAAATGGCTTCCACCAGGAGGAAAATAAATTCTGCTGTGGATTTTTTCGCCTCAGAAAGGTCTGAAGTGAGAGTGGGGCTTAGGCAGAGCCATCACATAGCCAGAGCTAGGAACAATCCTCAGAAAATACATAATCTGTTTTACCATATGCAGAAACGTGGCTTCCTCGTTGTGGTGAGTGCCCAACAGAGCCGGCCTGGTGACTGCTCTATCCACGGTGCCGTACAACAGTGTCAATGAAATGTGGCAGAACTTTCCCCCACATACCTTTTCCTGTCCTTTCCAGCCCTTCTTGGAATGTCATCACAATGCTGCAAATATTTAAAAAGCCATGTACAGAAGGCAGAACGTGGAGGATAAATTGGAAGTTTTTATGCTGACAGTACCTTGCCCTACTTTTTATTCCTCATCAATAAAACGTGTTTTTTTGGCTATACAGCACTCTGTCACGCTATTATCAACTTTCCACAGTTGCTCATAGTAAATTAATGATCAATGACAATTGCTAGCAACATCGTCATCATCATCATCAGCCATTGTCTATCCACTGCTGGATGAACGCCTCTCCGCGCCATCGCCATCCCTTCGGTTCAGTGCTGCCACAATCCATCTCACTCCTGCACACGAGATAATCTCATTGCTCCATCTTCATGGTGGTTATCCTCTTGGACACTATCTCTCCTTTGGCTGCCATTCCATAACCAGTCTCGTATATCACCAATCATCCCGTCCCGTGATTTGTTCTGTCCAAGCCCATTTACTTTTCTTAATTGTCAATATGACAGCAATGATGAGCTAAATATTTTCCCGAGTTGCCTTAAGGCAGCTGGGTGAATTGCCAGGTCCACTAGTGCATAGGCACCATCCCAGCTAGGAGGTATAATTGGCCATTAAAATTGAAGCAACACTGTATTCTTACATCACTAGGTCAGTCTACTCCTATGCAGGTGACCTTGTATGTGATGTCCTGTCGCTAAACACAAAAGGTCATCTGCACCTTGGTGACAGTATCTAACCATTTAATCAAGCTGCCATTGTCTTCACAGCAGACAGGAGGGCGCTTATGCCCAGTGGGAATTGTGTGTGATGGCTGGGTTCTCAGGGGTAATTGGCAGTATTGACGGCTTGCATGTGGCTATCAGGTGGCCTTCAGCGGCCGCTGAGATGTACGTCAACATCAGTCGCAAAGGTTACCATTCTGTGAACGCGCAGCTGGTATGTGATGAACACTAATGGATGCTATATACCAGGGGTGGACCAACCGCGACCGCATGTCGCTCCCGGGCAATTCAAGTGTGGATCAATGGAGATCCATTTGACTTTAACATTTCAGTATAGCTTTATTTGAAACAAGAAAAATCTGTGCACGTGGGAGCAGCCCCCATGGCACTGTCTCTTGGCAGCAGAGCCAGCCATGGGCAGTTCCATAGGGCTTCTGCAGATCTCAAAATTTAAAACTGCAAAGGCAACCAGTGCAAGCGACCCAGCCGCGTGACGACCATGTGTGTCTTGTGGCTCTCGGCTAAATGAAAATGTTGGTCTGGAGCTCGTGTTTGGTCAGGATGTTTGGCCACCTCTGCTATATATGTTCGCACACTACCTAATGGGTGCGCATGATGAGAGCGTACCAGAGCATGTGATTGTAACCCCCACGCTGGGCTTTGGTGACTGCCGGGTGCGAGGAGATTGACTGCTAGGCAACAGGTGGCATGGGGTGCACCCTTACCTGCTGCTAGCGCCGCTGCTAAGATCCATATCGGGAGATACGCTTTGGGCGCGCAAGTCACGCATTTGGTGGCAGTTATTGGGATTTTAAATGTTGTATTATATTGATTTGTTTTCTAATATTTGAGCAAGGTTACATTAACATACACGATTTTCCGTTAAATGTTAATTGCGCAGCATGCAGTTTATGTTACGCGAGAATGTGTTATCTTTACGGGCGATGCTTTGCAGGCAAAGAGCAACTGGGTTGATTTTCAGCTATTCATAGACCCCGGGCATGATTCATGTTCTCACATAAAACACTGTTCTGTGTATTTTCTGGATGGGAAAATGGCTACATTGATAGACATACAAGCAATTTGGTTGTGTTTTTTGAAACAAACAGTGACAGAAATTGCCTTTCTGCCAAGAGCATGAATTAGGCCCGCTAATGTAGAAAATGCTGCACCAGGACTCTTTGTTGCTGTCACAGATTTGGAGGACGTTTCTGGACTGTTTCGCACCGCTCTTGAGGAGAGATATGCTGAAGCTGTTGACCATCTGGCTCACACTCTCATTCAGGTAACACACCTCGCAAGCTGCACGTCTTTCACCCATTAACTTTTGTAATTGTGACTCGAATATTTGGTCGGCACTAATTTGCAGTGCTTCTCAAAGTGATGTCAGATTAACACATTCCTGCGGAGGGAGCTGGTAGGAACGTTGGGTTGCTCGGTCAATGGCCAGGGTCAACGGCGGCGTGGTGTATTCCGCAAATATGCCCGACTGTGAGGGCGGGCACAAGCCGGCGTGAGTAGGTTAAACGTTGAGTTTTATAAGGGCACCACGGGGTGACCAGCCCCTCCCCACCCAGCCCCACCCCTCCCACCCCCAACCCAGCACACTGTCCACAAATGTCATGTTACAAAGAGATGTACGTTGCATGGCATTCAAATCGATATATTTTTCAGTTTTCAGAACTGAAGTTTAACCAATTGAAGTATATTAACGAATTCCACACCTTGCTTTGTGTGTGCAATCATTAGTGATCGGGCTGAGACCATCAAATCACAACACTTGAGAACACCAGTTTGATCCCCAGCGGCTGCCTAGATGTTAACCCGAGATGCATACATTTAAATAATATTGAACTGGTTGATAGTTTAAAATGATCGATAATAAATTTTGCATTAACAAAGCAATATTCGTACTTGGTCATGCATGATTCTCTGAGATCAGTGATTGCATAATATTGCCTCGTTTCTGCCATAAGTGAGGCTCTTCTCGCTCCTTGCTTGCACTGGACTGAACAAATGATCCCAGGTGCTCATGGCAGCCCACTCGTTTAACCCCAAAATTGGGTAACTGAACTCCCTTTCTAAACTGAGCATGATGCTTTTACCCCCGCGGGCAACACCAGAACCACTTGAGACACCGCAGGGTCAACTCAGAAACGAGATGCACTTCTCGTGATGTCACTTGCTTAATTTTAACCTCCAGAAAATAATGAATGTCAACGAAGGACAGCAGAAAGGTAAGCAAAATTGGATATTTGCTTTATAATGCTCTAACCTAGCCCATGTTTTACTAAACCCTGTGAAAGAAAGTTAAGATTGTGTCCTGACCTCCGACACAAAGCAGTATGGGGTTGGGAGAGGCTGGTTTGGGTTCGGAGGAGCCTGGTTACTCGTCTAATTGTAATAATCAGAATCTTTATTTATCCTGGGGAAATCCGATGAGCTATGAAGCTCTTTTTCGCAAATGTCCAGTCGGGGCGGGTCAGAAAGTTACACAAAAAAACCGATAGGAGTGCAAAGTATAGGAAAGGTATGCAAATCACTAAAAATAAATAAACTAAAACGAAAGCCCATTAAGCTGTTCATTCTTTTTCAGAAGCTTCCTGGCTCAAGAAAAGGGCTTACATGTGGACATTTACAGCAGCCAAATAATCAAAACTCAGTTTTATAAAGTGTCTTTCAAATTGGCAATCTAGCATTGGCGACCCATAGTTCGAGCCCTGGTACTGCTGATAAGATTTGAAGCACGAACATTTTTTTTATTATGGGTACAAACTGAGCAATCATTGGAAGGACGTTTTTTAACCAGTTTAAGTCATAACTGGATGTGATGTTTCCATCCTACCTTCGATGTTAGTTGTTATTTTTGCCCCTCTGGTTTTAGATTAACAGGTAAAATGTCTTTACATTAACAGGTTCTTTCGGTAAAGTCACGTATGAAGATAAAATAATAAATTAAATTAAATACTAGCATACGACGTTTCGATTGCAACACAAGCAATCATTATCAGGTATAAATTAAATAGAAACACAAATCTAGTATACTTAGAAATGTAATGTAATACAACAGAGAGTCGGATAACATAACAGTCAACACCCTATCTGGTTGATTACGTTCTTCCTGAGAATGCTAAATTTGAGAGAGAGATTAAACACAGAACCAGAAACATAGACATATAAGCAGACAGATATCACAGAGATACATAGAGAGAGAGTAAACATAGGCACACAGAGAAACTACGCCTCTGTGTCGAGGCCTTAAATAGAGAAGGGGGGGGGGGCGGGGGCGGGGAGAGAGGGAGGGGTTAGAGAAATTAGCATGTCCATGAGTGGAAACGGTGAGTGGCAAGGCGTTGCTCGTTTTCATCGATGTGGCGTTAGCTCTGCGATCTTACATCGCAATGCTAATTTCTCACATTAACATCACTAGCCCCGCCCGCTTCGTTTATGACCCTTGGGCTACACCCATTTTAAACCTTTAAAACATCCTGCCTCAGCAGCTTTTCTCCTGATGATGATTGCTTGTGTTGCGATCGAAACGTCGTAGTTTTATTTTATTTTTATTGTTATTTTCTTTGAACCTATCTACGTGACTTTACTGAAAGGCCCAAGAATAAGGTACAAGCTTATTTAATAAAACAACATATCTTCGAGTAGACTGCACTGATGTATGGGAACTCATGCACAGTTATGCAACACAGTTTTTTACAGTCAATCAGAGATGAGTGAAATAAAATATAATATTACCATCGCGGAAATCAGGCCGGCAGGGGCCAAGGCGAGGGGTGGGGGCAAGGTGGGGGGGGCAAGGCGGGGGGGGCAAGGCGGGGGGGGGCAAGGCGGGGGGGGGCAAGGCGGGGGGGGGCAAGGCGGGGGGGGGCAAGGCGGGGGGGGCAAGGCGGGGGGGGCAAGGCGGGGGGGGGCAAGGCGGGGGGGGGCAAGGCGGGGGGGGGGCAAGGTGGGGGGGGGGCAAGGCGGGAGGGGGGCAAGGCAGGGGGGGGGGGGGCAAGGCGGTTGTAAAGTTCAGTTCTTTAAACAAGCAACTCTATGCCTACAAATTTAAATATTAAACTTTGCTTTCGTGGTTGAAAATGTATATACAATTAACTGGCTTATAAATAACGAATGCAGTTATCTATGTGGCTACTATTCCCTTCAGTGCTCTTTTCTAAGTGCCTGTTGTTTACCAGCAGCCCTCCTCTGTGACCGTGAACAGCAGTGGCATGCCATGTGCATATGAATGCGGTCCCACCTCTTTGATCCATGCTTGATGCCACTGTGTCACACAGCTACTACGGGCTGTCGGTGTGGTTCCCAGAGGTGATTAAAGACCTCCAGGAAAAGGAATACCACCACCACACGAAGGTGCACGTTGGGGAGCGCATCCATGGCTCCACGTTTAACTTCTCCCTCGTCAATCAGATCCACCTCAATGGGGAGTTCATCAATGACAAGTGAGTGTACATCGCATGTATGTGTGTATGTTGAACTTTATTTGCACCGTATGTAGCCAACTGTGCTAATCGGAGATCTGGGGGGGGGGGGGGGGGAGGACAACAAACTAAACAAAAAAAGCGGTTCTAGAGAAATTAGTTTTCATTCTACATTTAAAAGTGCATAGCTCCAGTGGCCTCCTAATATTGGAAGGAAGAGCATTCCGGGCGACCACAGAAGCGCATATGAAAGTGCGAGATGCAATGACCGTCTTTGTTCAATGGCGAGCCACGCGGGCGGTGAACAGTGGCGGGCCGTGTATTTTACACCTAGGCCTTCAGTGGCATCCTCCCACAATTAAACCGCCTTCGAATAACCTCACCATGACACGAGGGCTATAGGCTATTGTCATTCGACGTAACCACCCCATATTCACAGTGACAGTAACCTTTATCGAGTGAAATAAAGTGATTAAACACGAGGCTCAACACCTATGAGAGTTACAATACACTAATTGCAGAGACATGAATACATGGTGACTGAACCCATCAAGGATGTACCACTATTACGCAGTATGACAGGATGCTGCATCACAAATAGACATCGCATAGCCCAAATGAATATCATTACCAAAGGAACAAGAACAAACTCACAACAACCAGTCACATTAACTCATACGACCACCAAGCAAGCAAAAATGCCGTGAAACACAAATAACACAATCAGGATTCAACAGGCTTCCCAACAGATTCCAGCCAAGCTAAACGCACATGCCACCACGCACACTCAAAGGCACAGCCAGGCCACAAAATCGGAACATCATTCACACCAGCAGCAACGATCTTAAGCAAGCAATAATAATAATAAATAGCTAGTAACAGGCCCGGCGCCAAGATTAAGTCTGTCTGTCTATCGATCTCCTCCGCTCTGTTTTAATTCTATGGACAGCGCGGCACCTACACACAACAAACAGCACTGTCTATGGTTCTGAAACAGCTAAGCCATAGTCACATGTATCTCGGCCAATCATTTAGTTGTCTTTGCTATTTTTCTATAGATGCATAACACATAAACAGAGGGGGCAAAAAATACAACTAAAATACAAAAATACTAAAAAAATACCGAAAAAACCTAAGAGTATGAGTCCTTGCAGTCACGAAAGCTTCAAATCTAGAACAAAAATACTAAGCCATACCCTTAAGACCCCTCGTGGCGCCAGGCCCGGCGAGTAAAGATTCATACAAATCCCTCAAACTTACCAAAGCTGCTCATCATTTGAAGACAAACTCCATCCTCCTTTCTTTCTTTACAAAGAGTGCAATGACGCGGTTGTACAGTACATCGGTGCATTTCAGTTCCAATAAAGGGTCATTCTCGATTGCCATGGAGTCCAGTGTTGACAGTCGAGCCTGCTCAGTCTTATGTCTTGAATACATTTTAATGCGTTTTAGGGCAGAAAATGTCCGCTCGACAGAGGCAGTAGACACCGGGATGGTCACCGCCAAACATGCCAATGCGTAAAGTTGACGCAAGCTCCCACATAGATCTTTCTGCTGAAGGAAAGCGAGGAGGTCGGGCAGGGCTTTTTCCTTCCAAATCAGTCATAACATACATTACAGTCAATTCTAAGTCTGGGCAGGTCGAAGAGAGTTCCGTGGCTCTGCGTTCAGCTGGAGAAGGCCGCATCCGGGAATTTTTTCCGGTATGTCTGAAACTGTTGAGGGTCGAGGAGGGAGAGAAACATGGCTTTCTCGTGGTCTTTAAACCAGTTCCGTATCTGGGCAATGATGTTGTCCAAAATGTCGCTGTGGTGTTTCTGGTACCTTGCGCGAATGTCCCCCTGTGCTTGGCCTTTCCGTGTGCACCTGTTTCGCACACAGTAGAGTCATAAATCTCACCAAATTGCCCTCTCTCCCTCTCAATGGTGTCACAAAATTCGTCCATTCTTGTCAGACAGAATTGTACATCGAGTGTTTTGTTCTGCAGTATTCCAAAAAGCACATCCGAATACTCAAAAATGACGTGAAAAGTGTAAATAAAAAAAAACAAAACTCAAAATCATCCAGACGTGCATTGTATCCATCAGCACAGCGCACAGAATCCTCGTCGTACTCATCATGATGTTCTAATATGTGCTCAAATAGCTCCTTTAGGGCAACGCTCTACTCAAAGACTGTGCTGATCAATCTAGAACTATATTGACACCTTGTTGGTGCCACACGAGGAAGACGCCGCTGGTGGATATCGTCAAGCAGCTGCTTGTGCTTAGGGGATCTGGATAAAAACGCAGCTTGGCCATTGCGATGCGCAAAAAAGATCCTACATTCTCTAAGCTTCGATGCCCCTTGAGTCAGTACTAAATTAAGTCGATGTGTTTAGCCATAGGAGCCCTCACCTTAACTTTAGCCTGCACCCCATTTAGTCCAGATGCCATGACAGCAGAGCCATCAAAGCACTGGGCCACAATTTTATCCAGGCATTCGTGTTCCTCCAGGAATCGGATAATGAGAGCAGCAATGTCATCAGCCCGCTTGCCACTCGTAACATCGTCAAATCTGACAAAGCTCTCCTTGACACTTGTGTCTGTCACATAATGGAGCACCAGTGCCAGCTGGGCTGCAGTACTGACATCTGTAGTTTCGTCCACCATAACTGCGACAAAAGGTACTTTATTGATCTCTCTTTTAATCTCCTCTCCCATCACTTCAGCTATAGCACTAATCATATCGTTTTGTATCTTGCCTGAAGTCCCAGTAAACACTTTGTTAGTGGAAAGTGTGGTAATGCAAGCCTTTGCTGTGCTCGGACAGAAAGGAAATAAGCTCGACATAGTTACCCCTATTTGTGGACTCCTTGCTTTCATCGTGTCCCCTAAATGAGAGCTCTTGTTTACCCACAAAGATGACACAATCGATCAGTCTTTTCAGCATTTCCCTGTTTTTCTTGACCTTTTCGTCGTGGAGCTCCGTTTCCCTTCACATTTGTTCACCGAGTTGTAGATCCACTCGGGTGTCTCCGAAGGTTTTCAATAGCACCGTTGCTTGCAAGTGTCCTGCCGTGCTTTGGTGTCTCGTTGCTGCCTTGGTTAGGCAATTCAGGTTTGCAAACCCAGCGTGGCTCCAAACACCATATCGGTCGGTTGCAAACAACAGGCATTCCCAGCAATACAATTTTCAATGTTCCTTCGGCGCTGCAAGCCAGGTGTAACTTTCGTAGTTGCTCGATTGAAAGCGCCGCACTAATCCTTTCACTGGCTGGGACAAGGTTGCTAGCTGCGGGGTTGGTCGACCTTTCCTCACAATTTCCAGTTTTTCTTGAGAGATCCTTTTCTAAGAAGGTTTTGCCAGTAAATCCACCACCAAATCCATTTCTTCTCCTCCTTCAGCCATTGTGCGTTGAAAAACAACAGGGCTAAGTAAAAATCTAAACAAAAAATCTAAAGCACTACATCTAAAAATCTAAACGTCACGATAGAAAGTTTAAATAAAGCTTAGATGACGCTAGGTTACGTGCTAGCTAGTTTTACTTCAGTTAGCGAACTGGCCCTCCGATCACGCTGCACGAAAAATGCTAACGTAGGCAGCTAGGCCAGCTTGAGGGCTCCGGCGTGTCAAAGAATAAGCCCAACATGGCAAACTCGAAATCTGATTGGTTAAAGAATATGACAATCAACAACATCGCCCCCAATTACTTCAACAGCACAGGGGATTCTCTCGACATTCTGAAGGCCTCAGGGTAGATTTTTCACCCGGAGACAGCACAGGTGGAAAATCTGATTGGATCAAAGCTCTAATCTATGAGCTGCGCTGGAAGTAGCGCAACTGAGGGAGAGAGTAGCAATGAAGTGACGTTAATAGACTGATGGGAACGAACTTTGTAAAATACATATAGCATTAAATTATAAAAATACATTTTTTTGATTCAGACAATCTCTAGGCCAGCAGAGGAGGCCTTGCTGGCCCTGACGACCCGCCTCTGGCGGTGAACCATGACCATGCTTGGCCTCAGAGCCCCCGTTATACTGCTGTCATGTGCTGAGACGAAGCAGAAATATGGAAACAATGAAATAAAGAGATGAACACAAATTGCAGTAGAGCAGCTTTGAAACGTTGAATGTGATCATGAAAACGAGCATACCGTTTGTGCCATCAGTGCACACTGTCAGCTGTGACGTGGATCAGAAACATGGAGCCCGACAAAGGAAAAATGTTAACCAATTTTTAAAAGTGCACACAGAGGCATGGATGCTTGGCATTAAACTGAGAGACAGACAAAGGAACACATGGATCTAGAAACAAACACAGGCCATAGACATATTGAGATAAAAAATGGGCTTGGGCAGGACAGATTGCGAAAAGGCTGATGGACATGACTGACGACTAATGACCGTGTATCAAGTGAAGAGCCAGTTTGATTTTAGTGGTAAAGTAATACCCCCGCTTTTTCATCGATTCGCAAATACGTCGTCTCTTTATTCCGTTCTCATATCCGTCACCTCAGCCTTCACCTCCACCTACCCTGGACACGAGCTACTTTGCGTCACGCATGAAAAAATGAACTGTACTGTAGACTACAATATATTATTTATCTTCAGTATTATGGTGATTTTATATCGTGTACTGTATGTGTTGAGTACAGTATTTTAAGTATTTTTTGCAATATAAAGTAACATTGTGTGGGTATGTCTAGGATGAAGATGTGCACATTAACACACAGCTTCACCATACCCTGTTGTCTTTCTTTAGCCCTCGTCACGTGCGGACTACATTTGCTTTGATTTACGTCGATTCGATATTTGTCGCAACTTTCAGGAACGCATCCCCAATGTAAACTAGGTTATGACTGTACAGTATATAAAATAACACAGATTCCGACTATATTTATAAAATCATGGTCATGACAGGTGTATCACTTGAAACAAACACGACATTTGTTTTCAAGCTTTTTTTAGTTATGAAATGTGTTAGTGGAGGCATGTTTTATTCAGAACAAATATAATATACAGTACTAGCTTTACTAC